AGAGTAAGACTCCAACTCAAAAAAAAAAAAAAAAAGAAAGAAAGAAATGTGGCCAGTGGAGGATGAGGGACCAAAGGAAACAAGTTCTCCCTCACTGGCCTGATGCCTCCCAGCCCCTACCCTGCCAGCCCAGCTGATCCCCCACTCAGCCCAGCCAACCCTCCCCCTCCAGACGTACCCCTGGTATTCCACCCGCCTGGTATTCCACAAAGCATCCTTTCCATGTAACTCAGAGCTTGGATGGCGTCAGGAGATTGTGTTCCAAGTGTGGCCGCCTCTTCATGGTGACTGTGCAATTCTGGACCTTGAGAGGCCTGAGATGTGTAGACTGTCCTGCAGATTAAATCACAGGCCCCCAAAAGAGGCCCACCTGGATTTCCCCATTATCTCCCACCCCAGGAGTTCACCCGGAATAAATATGTCTGGCCCTAGTTACCATGCTTTGTCTTCTTGTCAACTATTCTTAGTTTCAACTACAGATTTGCCTCTAGAATTTAACCACTGGGCATACCCTGCTCTATTCTGGAAGCTCTTGTTGCAGTAATATAGCTCTGATTTCAATTAGGGGAAGAGAATTCTATTTTTATTTCACAGACCAAGTTTTGGCCTCTTGTCCACACTATCCTGCGACCTCCGGCATGTTGTCCGTAAAGAATATCATGTAATCCCAGGCAGGTCATCCAACCCCTCTGAACCTCTCAGTGCTCTTTTCTGGAAATCGGAGCTAGTAATTAAACCTTGTTCAACTTGAGCACAGTCATTAAAAGCCTCATGCTTTGAGCTAGACTTTCTGGGTTCAAATCCCAGTTCTGTCACAGATTCGCTATGCAAGTTTTTCTGTACATGCCACTGAAGCTCTCGGTTCCTCATTGTCCTTACTGGCAAAATGAATAGCACCTAGCTCACGTGGTCATGGTGAGGATTACAAGAGTTAATATGTGGACAGCACTTGGCACATGGTAGGTAATATATAAACACGACCTAATAGTATTAATACTCTGGCTCATGTGATTGCTGAAAAGACCACAGAAGACTGGAAGTGAGCCATGGATGCCACACGGCACAGACAGTGTTGCTGGAAGTCCTAGGGAAATCGACTGGCCCACGCCCGTCAGGATGGGAGTCACTAGTCTTTGAGTTCTCCAGGACCTCGGTCTGGATTCCACTCTGTTACGGTTAGGCGATCTTGAACAAGTTCCCTACCTGAGGATTTTGCCGTCTGCCTGGTGGAGTTGATTGTGAATATTAAATGAGTAGGTGACCTGTCTGGTACACAGTAGGAACTGGGTTCATGTCAGCTCTCCGTCCAAACACATGGCCCTGCTGTGGTGTAAAAAAGGCCTGTTTGAGTTGTTAGATGGAGTCTCACCCCTTAAGGGTATGGTTTACAGACTAAGGTGGGACCTGAGGGATGATCATGGGCCAGTTCAGGATGTGTGCCAGGCAGGTGCAGGTGACACTTATGTTAGAATGGGCTGCTCTGTCAGAGACATCACGGGGCCTCATTATGTGACCTGCCAATGCCTGCCTTGCTGAGTGCAAGGCATTTAGTGCTGGTTCCAGGGAAGGATGCTTATAAGCAATTAATAATGATTACTAATAAGCCGAATAAGTCATCGTTGGGGCTTAGAGATAGTACCATTCCGCAGCAGAAATGGGTCAGGAATGAGAAGGAGAAGACAAATGATGGTGTGGCTCTATGAGCCAATGCCAAGAGTGTACTGAGGCAACCCCAAGGAGTTTGACCTTCAAGGTACCTGGGGTCTGTCCTGGGGTCTCTGCAGGGGTGACCCAAGGCCCTGAGCACTCCACCTCCACTCCAGACTTCACTCGACTAGTGAAGATGAGACTTTATTTTAGTCTTCTTGATAGTTTGGGAGTCCATGAATTTCACTGGAAAACAACGTTCTTAAAACTATTTATAAGGGAGGGATCCGCAGCCATAGGACACTGCCGGTGTGGGGGTGGGTGGGTGGAGCGGGCTCGTAACAACATAAAGGGTGCCTGATCCTAAACCAGGGCAAGTGAGGACCAGATAGAGGCCCAGACTTCACCTGCACATACATTACTTAAGTACCTAATTCTGACTTGTACTCCACATCTTTAGAATACAGTAAACAAAACAAAAATACCTATTCATTAGTTAAACACAATTAGGAACAATTGTGTTTAATTTTTGTGAGATGCCGATTTTATCTTAACCCCCACTTTGGGTTTTTCTGTTATACAGGAGGGAATTTAAAAGTATG